GCAGCCAGATTAACTAACATACTGTGAACTTAAATACAACCAAACTATGGAGGATAAAAAGTGCCAAAAAGAATCTGTCAAACTCACCCATCAAAGTTAGGGGGCGGGGTTAACGCGAATCGTAATCGATTTGCTTCGCCTTAATGTGCAGGGTGACCAATCAGGTGTTAGATAACCGCCCCCTAACTTTGATGGGTGAGTTTGACAGATTCATTTTGGCACTTTTTATCCTCCATAGTTTGGTTGTATTTAAGTTCACAGTATGTTAGTTAATCTGGCTGCTTTCTGTGTCACATCATCATTAATCACTACTGAGCGAGCGTCACACGGCCTCCACCATGTTTTGCAGGTGACGTGGCGTGCCGTGGATTCTGGGCCGTACCACGCCTTCGCCTAGTTTCTGTCTTTGCACCGTCCTGGTAGAGGTTGATCTTGGTTTCATCTTTTCAGAGGATGTTATTCCAAGGGTGTGTTGTTTTTGATTTCTCTTTTAGATGATTTTTAGCTTCCCTCTTTCTTTCTTAGGATGTCCGACGGATGTAAATGTTCTCGCTCCTTAATTCGTATAAATGTCTAAAATGGGCTTTTCTGTTTCGCTGCTTAAGGGTGGCTGGTTTCACCTGTACAGAGAGCTCCTTTGACCGCATATTTTCTTCACAACAAGATATTCCAAATGCAAGCACCACACCTCAAATCAACAACAGGCCTTTTATCTGCTTCACTAAGAATTACATAACAAGAGTCCTGCTCATTCCTGCCCATGAATTAGCCTTTGAGTTAATTGTCTAATTAGCTTTAGTCCCTTTTAAAAAGCAGGGTGGCTCACAAAGGGGCTGGAACTACTACACCCTTTGTTTGGTTTTAAAGTTGATTCACTCAAATGAAAACTAGAGGTCTGGACTTTATACTCATGTCTATTGTATAACTATAACTCGGATATGTTTCAGTAAGCGTTTGTGTTGGTATCAAAATATTTATGGACCCAACTCTAAAAGTTCCCACTTAGATAGGTTTGAGTAAACAACAACTATGCAGATGACCATGAACCCTTCCAGCCAATGGCATAAATGCAGAGGAGAAATCAAAACAAAGTTTCTTCAGCTGAAACAACAAACAAAACAGAACTGAAACAATATTTCTGGATTAAAGGAAGAGTGTTAAATTTAAGCACACGGCTTTACTTAAAATAGTTCATTGTTCATCAGAAGGTCCTTATGCCACTCTAAAGTTAGAGTGATTAAGGTTATTCTGAGCTATCTCTACAGTT